ACTTACAGCAGACATGCCAAATATATTTCACAGTCAGTTGTTGATAAAGAGTGGCTAGTAATCCAAACTCAAAACCTCTTCAATCTCTGTAACGCGGAGTCTTTGCAAAAAGTCCCATCTTATGGTAGGTATCTGTTTGTAACTAATATGTAGTCCGTGTAATTTCACATGAATTTACGAACTGTCTGATTAATATGGGAATTCCACACAAGGGAATCAGTTGTATGCTCACTGCTATTCACAAACTTCAGAAATGTCCGGGATATCTTACTCCACTGCACTGTGATCTATGCCAGGTAAATGCTTATGTATGTACATGGTGTGCAGCTTGGATTAGCTGCTAAAATGTTTAGTCCCACTCTTCCAATTCTCGATGTTGACATTTTAGAAATTGATAAAAGCGTATGTTTTGCACGTTTGTGGTAACCAATTCACGTAGAGTACAGCCCTTGAAGCTAAAGATTATCTCCTATACTTTTACTATGGAGGGATGATTTATGGCGCAGTAAAAAATTGGGAAAGAAGCCTACACTTCTTTGAATTGGTAAGTTTCCTGTTCATTTAAAGCGTATAATTTTAGTGTTTAATTATCCCTGCCGTATCATCAAGCTGTATTCTGATTGAAGCTGCAAAAAAGATAATATTAATCTCCTTGATATTACATGGGAAAGTGAGTTACTCTATTTTGTTGTACTTTTAATCACATAAAGGTGCTTGTCGTATATATTCCAGCTAACTTAATAGCACATAGCCCACAATTCACCTGACGAATACAATAGTTTGTTTTAAGTTTGTGCCAGTAGCTATTCTTCTTGGTTATTAGTGTTGCGAATACTTAAAAATCTTTCCGGATACCAACAAACAAATGGCACAATATTTATGAATACTGGTCTGCTAAATCGAGACCAGTTTTTTTTTTTGCCGGAAATTTCCAGTAGAGGGCATTTTACCAACAAATAGGAGAGTTTTACTTATGAAATTCTCAAGTAGCATATTGTTAGTTTGATACGTATTGGTTCTGTATCAAAAAGGTCGTCTTAAACCCGATTGTCTCATTATTTACTAAACCGTGTCAGTAGCATGAATAAAGATATATTGACCAGATTTAAAGTCTGACTAGTATATCGTCCGAACTTTTGTTTACCTAGCCTTCAGGGACACTATGAGTTTACTAATGATACTAACCGGCTCCCCAAATTAAAGTTGGTGGAGATGAGTTCGAACACAGGGACTATCAATTATATTATCCCTACTTTTAAGTGACCATCAGGCTATTATCACTAACATTACCATACAAAGTAAGACCAAAAGCGGAATAAAAAGACTTGTTTCTTATAAACAGGCCAACATACTAATGTTGATATTATATTATGAAACATTAGTGATGTCAAAGAACATTACGATTAGTCTTAAACATGAAGAGTGCAAACTATATATTTTACAGCGATCACAGCTATGAATAATGGTCCTTAGTTATTGGTAATTACACTTTTGGTGTAATTTGTTGATAATAGGCGATCAGTTTTTCATGGAACCGTTCAATAACGAATCTTTAGGTCTTGTTTCCTGTCATGTGGTTGACTTCAGTTTTCGGTAAGTTTCTAAGCTATTTGAACCAAATTGTACTTATAGTTTGCTACATCTCATTGCCGTTAACTTTCAGTAAGCTTCCTCATATTTCCAATACTTTCAATGCTTCTAGTTCAGTACAGTTCTTGAAACTCCGGTTGCATATTTCATGTCTCCAAGGCCTTGGAAAGTGAGTGTGTTGGTTCTAATCTTCTAATTTTATTATTAACCATCAGTATGAATATAAGCCTAACGATTTTTTAAAGCAATGATTTCTTTGCCTGAAGATCTGCATATTTTGTTAAAATTACTGACTTGGTGAGTCCATTGTATGAGAACATTATTGGAGTGAAATTTATGATATTCACTAATAACGGCATATTCTCACCATTAAACAGTTAAGATGCTCATTTTTGCTCTGTTTGCTTGTTTCTTTACGGGAATTAAGTAATGTCTTCAACCGGTACTCACTGATATATACCAAGCTTTTCATATCTATCATGTGATTCCTCACAGCCATGTTTATACATCTCCTCAGCGTATTAATATGGTAATTGTGTTCAATTACCATGAAAATTATTCCGTTTTCATAACAGTCCTAAGGCTTTTCTTTTTACTTAACAGGTGCAAAGTGCATTCTATGTTTTCAGTCATAGTTTTCAGAAGCAACTATACTTCAATATTTAAATAACTACTGATTAACAAATACTAGACTGGTGTGGTTGAGTAGATGAATAAGCGCAAACTAAACATCTAAATTCGTCATACATAGTAATACACGGTCCTAATTTCGAGTACAGGTTTCAGTAACATGGTAAATTCGTTTAGGAAAACAATTAAAAGAAGTACGTTCCCCTAAAATCTTTCTGTCGATAAAATCACAGGACTACATTAATTTGAATCACTCTCAGGCATCCACTCTACACCAGACAAGTGGATAACAATATTAAATTCTCACCTAGGTTGTTCTGAAGACAACATTTCATCAGTCTCATTACCTTACAGAACCGTAACATGTGTTCGATCGGGGTCAACGAATTTCCTAACAGGTTTATTTTTGATACAATGTGAATAAATATATCTGATAAGAGTAAATCGTCAGTTCAATTGTAAATAACTTATAAATTTTTAGTCAGATTCTCGAGTTCACTTCTTTGTTAACATGGTTCATCGATTGATCACAACTTTTATGGGAGCGTATTGTAGAACGAGTTCATGATACAAACCTGTACAGGTCAAGAAATTACAAAATATTAGGTATGTTTTTGAAAATTCAGTGATTCACCATGGTCCCATTGTTTATATTTGCAGTTCTCCGACTACTCAAAGGTTTCAATAAAGTCAAGGATGATTATTCCTGAAAGCATTCAGTCTTATTCTAATAGATGCTGTCATATCAGCGGGTGGTATCGAATCACAACCAAAGAGATCTTGATAAACGAAAACACAGTTGCATGGGTATCTTTGAAATCTCACGTAACTGATGTCGACTGTATTTATACGTTTTCTTTCATATAACCACTCATTCATAGTCATTGCTGACTTCCAATGTAAGGACAAACGTTGAATGGGCGATTAGAGAAATTAATCGGACGACAGAAACAGATAAACTAAATTGCATCTAAACATCGTTTGAGAAGATCGATGGGAAATTATTCTAGTTTCTGTGTCTTCTGAGACTCCAATTATATACTGGTTGGCTATCGTGATGGCTCAATTAAGCTATAGTAGTAGTTAGAAAAATTGATCCTTTAGATACTACCATGCCAAAAAAGGTCGGTGGGAAGTGGTAAGATTAAAAGCAACAAACCTGTTATCCGAAGGCGAAGTTTTATTGTTGATAGTACTGCGGTTTGATGATTGCAAGATTTTCTTCTTGGATAATCAGCACCTCCATCAACAATGCCCATCAACAACAAAAGAAAAGGATTATAAAAAGCTCACCTTCAAACAAGCAGACCTCATATCATCCCGCATATATCCGTCACCAGGGTCAAAGCTTGAAGGGACGAAGATGTTGGATCAAAAACTCAGAAAGCTGCATGTGACTGACCTCAAAAAAACTATCGCTTAGACTCTACGGTCACCCTCTAGGCTCCCAAGACAGACCACTATTGACCCAGTTTTCTTTCCAGGCATTTCGTGAATAAATATCTTTCAGTAGCCTGAGAAACCTGAAACTGACAACTGCACATATACCTTCGACGACACTTGAGCTAATCTTGTTCACAACTAAATCTTATTTCTTAATATATTTCTATTTGTACCATAAACTCTTTTCCGAATTCGAATTTTTCCGCATCTGCTACAAGCGTTTGAATTCATAAAACACATCTTCATCATTTCTGTCTATGCCATCGACTGCATTTTACCTGGTGCTAAAGTTCTTTCTAAATATTTCTCACCTTAAAAAACCAACTCCTTAGGTATTATAATCTTAACTGGTTATTTTAATGCCTGAGTAGATAAGCTAAATGGACATAAAGAATACTTAGATAGGCCCTTTGATTTTTCAGTCCAGCGAGCAAATCAAGTTGACTAGTTGCTTCAGTTATTCTCGGACAACGATTTATTTATAACGAAAACCAACTGTAAGCTGATGATCTCTGACATCAAGATAACGATGGGCACAAACAAACCATATCGTTATCAGCCGTTTTTCAAGAGACTTGATAGAGGTTTATCTCTACTTCTAGATCATATGTCTAAATTCCTCAACTATCGTACTCCGTATTCTAAAATCACACATTAAAACAAGTACTTAAGCAACGCTGTATTTGTAAATGCGAAGTAGACCCAACCACTATTTTGATCCTGACTGAACACTGAACATAGGCTATGCACTCTTTTGAAGAGTCTTGAGAAGGAGGAATACCCTGTACGAACGCAAATAACATGATGGGTAAACAACCACGTCAAGTCAGCAGCTATGGTGGAGGGAGAATAGGAAGGTTTGATCGATTTTACTTAGACAACAAACCTGCCTAACCTAAAGGAGGATCTCATTTGACCTTGGAAAACTGTCTATTTACTGTTTATTTCTAAACAACTTAAGTCGAAAATCAACATTAGTGACTCAAATCTTATCGAGGCTAACAGAATCATAAATAGCTTGTAACTAGGGAGAGCCAGCACATCGTACAGATTATTTCTTAGCATATGTAAATGCGTCTGTCTAGTTTTATTATTTCACTTGACTGAGGTTCAAGCTACAGTTTGGAAGCTAAAGGTAACCCCATCAGACTGGTGTTTTTCGTTTTAAAGCAGACACACCGACCCCTAGTTGTAATATTGCCTCAACCTTAAGGCAGCATTTGACTGCCGCCTATAGTACGAGTATAGTGGGCAGCAACTTGGTTTGTCACAACTTTGAAACCTAGTTTTTAAAAGTATGGAAAATTCGTAGGTTATTAGTATTTGATAGTAGACGTCTTCGAGACATTGCTCACGTATGTCGAGACCGTCGAATGCTTAATTGTTAGGTTAAACTCAGGTTGCTTGAGAAAGATGACGAATTGGCTGGTAATATTGTAAATCCTCATCTAAGGTGGTTGAGGCGTGTATTACGTATGCTCAACCACCGCCTAATTTAATGTACAATAGTAGCTGGAGTAGCAGTAAATGAAAATGAAACTGTGGTTGGCTAAACCTAGAAATAGCATCAATCCATCAAGTTAGTGACTGTTATGCTCAGCCATATTAGTAGGTCCAGGCCAATCCGGTTAGGGTCCACGTGATAACAGTGATCGGGGTTTCGAGACATCGTATGTCGTTGCTCAAAACCATTCACAGTGGCAGAGATGCCTTTACCCGTCACCTTTATGTAACTCAAGCTTTTGTACTATTTCATGCTTTTTTAAATTGGAATCTGTAACTTCTTTTGGATCGTTATTTCCTGTATCTAGACCTCGTTATTGGTGACACTTCTGTTATTTCGACATTTTTGCAGTTTTGTTGATTAATTCATTTTATTAGGATAATACAGTACACCAGCTTGCGCTAACGCACGTTTGTGCTAAATTGTGTTGATCATGATCGACTGAATCACCATGAAATTTTAGTTATGTACAGTTTCCAGGTGAACAATATTCATGTTGTGGTTTGATTTTCCACAATTTACATTGATCCAGACACAATATCATGAGGATACACCCAATTCAGTCCTGTTTTTTTCTTTGAAATTCTTGTATATTTCTATGAGTGGTAATCTAGTATCCTACATTACTGTGTACATATCTATCTATCTTATGTCTATTTCATTCAGACGATGTTATGCTGTCGCAGAATTTTCAGCTTTCAATTCAGCCCTGTTGTCTAATTCTATTAGGGGTCATTTATTTGTTGTGTTGGGTCTTATTTTTTTTTGATCAGCTTTTCTAGTCGAAATGTTTGCCTTAAAAGTGCTATTTCTCACTGGGAATTCTAGAAATTGATTTACCCCACTTATCATCAAACTTTGAGAAATTTTATTTGGTGACTGTTTAAGGCCTTCAATTTCACTGCGTTTAAAGTGAAATCTAACAAATTTTCTGGTATTTATTTCCCTAACTAATCACTAAATTTGGTGGGATTTCAACAACGAATAGTGTTTGAATTCTAAGTGTCATTGTCATGCTCATATTACTGTAGGGCTTTGGAAATTCAGTGATGAAGATATAAGTTTCAAACTAATAACAGAAGAGAGAAATTAGTTCGAAATAATATATCATGTGGCTGAGTTGTCCAAAAACACCCCTTAAGTTGGTCATAAGTTTCATAGAAATGATGATGGGTATGTCTAAAGAAACCTCATGAGTATCGTTAACCGTTTTGGTTATTATAAACTGTTTAATAATCCATATAGTGTTGACATACCAATTAGAACATGATTTATTAGTGACTTTTTTGTTTTGTAGTCGTAAGTTTTGCTCTTGTACATAAATTCATCCTTGTCTAATCTGCAAAAACAATTGCTGCTTCATCATTTTTTTAAAAAAATTTCTGCCTATTTCAGTGCTACTGTCAACCATATTTAGAACTAGCAACAGCATTTCGATCTAACAATCCTGAGGACTTAACTAATTTTGTTGATCTTCATCGAGAATTATTCACAGCTGTAAGTTTTCATGCACACGTAAACTGCCAGTCTTTCTCGTGTAAATAGCGTAAACGTTTAGCAAAGAACGAAGTACACATAAGAAACTAGGAGAGATAGAACTTTCTACCTCTTCAAGTTAATCGCAAGAGTTATTCATCTGACTCAACAGAATTTTCGTAATTGATATTTAATGTCCACTAATTCACGTAAAATTTGTTTCATGTTTTTTTTCCAAGTCTGTCTTATCTTGTTGTTGAATCGTGCACTTATTCCCCAACCATATTATTAATTTTGCTTGATGAATATAATTCCCAGTTTGATGAGGTAGTATGTTTGTAGTTTATTAGAACTAATTTATGCTGAGAATAGGCTATGGCGGATTTCTTAAAAACAAGTTTATGACTATTGTCTGGGTCAGAAACGTGATACATTAAGCATTTTAAAACATCCTCAGGGAACCTTGTGACGAAACCCTCCTGGAGCTTGAAGAAATAGGAAACATAACATCAAATCCTTGACCTGATTAAGGCATAGATGTCTAGGTGAGTGTCGTCATCAATCCGTTCCAAACATGCAAACTTTTTAAATGGTTCCCACATATAATTTTTTTTACAAGATTTACTTTTTAAGTTTCCGAAATACTTCGAGCGAAACACGAATTATACATTCATTAGAGCATGAGAGAGGCGCTTGTTTACAAATCTGATATATTCCCACTTATTTGAAGAGAATTAGATTTAGGAGGAAAGCCGATCAAGGCTTTTTGATAAATTAACGTAAGAACGCTCCAATCGGATGAATGGAAATTACTGCATACGTTAAAAAGAGAATCACTGGGTACATTAGCAGCAAATGAGAATAAAGTACAGTTAAAATGCACGTGAATATTTGTTACATAAATATCGTCATGTTTATTTGAATGTTTTGGAATACTTTTTACAATGAGATTAAATCACTTCAAATTCTGAAACATTTAGGTCAGCACCACCTGATTATTACTAACAGTGGACCCAAATCAAAATAGGTTCGAAACTGCTACTTAATGGCTCTAACACAAACTTCCAACCACTGAGCCACTGCTCCAGTTTCTGTTACTGGAACGATTCTAATGGAAAATCGTAAAATCATGTTTTAGTACCGAATAATCGTCATTTAATTAATGTAATCAAGATTCTTTTAACCCAGTCCCATCAAAATTGTGATATATATTCGTGTATGAGAAAAAATCAGTGTAATCGGATTTCCCTGTGAGAGATTTGCAGTGTTGAACTTATTATTTTAGAAGTAGCCTCTTGATGAGCTCCCATTCTTTTTAGTTTGTGTTGTTACTGGGTTGGCTTCGCCTAAATGTTACAGTTTCTTGCACAATGATAGGTTGTTATCTTTTTATGTAAGGTCGTATGAATTAGTTAATGCAAGTAAAAAATATAAGTGACTCGTTGAGATGCTTGTATATGATGATGAATATCCTGAAAAATGAATATCTCGCGTTATTCTGACTTCAAAAGAACACATTCGCTTGCCTGCTTAGCCTTATTCCTTACTCGAGTCCTGGGCGGTTCGCGATTATTGAAGTCAGTATTGGACAAATCTGGAAATTATTTGTTCGTACATTAGACTAAAAAAATACTACTACTTATTCTAGTAGTTCAGAAATTTAAGTGGGCTTGTGTTCTGTTTGACTTCTATATCTTTAACACATTGTGTCAAGAAACTTCTTAAATTTTCTACTTGTTATTTTTGGTTTTGAGTTTTTTTTATTGAAAACACCTAGATTGTAGTAGTTGTTTTATATACCTCTATTTTTTAAGCTAACATTGTTTTCGTTTTACAATAGGATTTCAACTTCGGACTTGTAAAACAAGTGATAAAGTGCCATGGAAAATTTCGTATCCAGAGCTTAACAAAAGTAGGTTAAATTTGTGCACACATTCGGTTTCACCAACTAGATGTATTTGATGTTTTACACACGATGCATATTCATGGTCTTGCATTTTGCTTTACATTTTAATATTATTTCGGGAAATATAAATATATTTCATGTATGATAATCCCCTCTGAACTGCAAAAAATTCCAAAGATACTTCGTGCAACTATGTAATATAATAAGAACGCTCCCTTACTATTGTTTGGTGTACTTAGTGAAATATTATTCTTTGCATTTTGAACACAATATTATCCACAGATGAAGGTGATCACTACTCAGTTGGTGTAAACCTAATTACTGGCACCAACTTCAAACCTGATCTTACCCATCCCGCATTCAATAGTTGTTTAGCGATCTTACGAGCTCTTTATTTTCATCATTGATTAGTTCTGCCTTATCTTAATACTAGACTACTATAACTACTTTGTTACTTGAATTTTTTGTGCGTTGATTGCACTTCTATTTTAAAATCACACTCATTATTGTAACCGAAGGACCTGTATTATTACGAAGGTTAAACTTAATAATTTCAAACGTATTGAGCATTCTGTGGAAGTTAATGGTTGAATTCATGAGTGAATTTAAGCTAGACCAAAGTGGGAAGCACTGGATGACCGTTCCGCACAAGCACGGGACTCCTCAGCAGCACGCATCCATGATCTCGTACTCGGAACTCCGGTCTCGTGCCCAAACGCTTAACCCTTAGACCCTTGTGCTGACAAACCACTATTCTGAGAATAATCATCATGTGCTAACTATTGATTAACATCAATATATATTTCCTGGAGTTCGGGTGAGAAACTGTGACCAGTGGATTTCAACCGTGTCTGTTGTGCGGCAGCTACCCACTAGTGGACGGTCGCACAAGATTGTGGATTGGTTGAAGTCAGACATTAACACCGTCGGATGCCGGCCAAGTGGTCTAGAGGTTAGGCGTTCGCGTGAAAGACTGAAGGTCTTGGATTCGAGTCCCGCGCACTAGCGAGGAGTCCCGTACAACTACGGAACGACCGTCCAGCGCTTCCGGGTTCTCCATTTCGGTCTAGCTTAAACCCACTCATGAATTCAACCATTAAATTACTACAATTTCCACAAACCCTTATTCTGTGGAATGTTTATAGTAAAATGATAACATATTTGTGATGTCCCAGTTAGTAGGAATTGAATTTTTATTACTTGGTGTAAACCACTTCAAAGAATAAATCTCCTTTTTTTAATCACTAATAAATCAGATGAAATAGCATAGGTTGGTATTGTAACTGTATTATACCTACAGAGCACAACAGAAATCCAACAAACCCACAAATCACTAAGACTTTTTATGTTACATCTAACACTATTTGAAATATTTTAGTTAATATAAAAGATAAAATCCCCATCAGCTTAACATAAAATTGTGTCTACAGATTGCGATGCTTTCTGTGTTGGAAAGTCTCGTGAAATTACAGCTGTTTTCTTTTTACACTTAGTCTTTTTTACTGATAATTACTACTACTGCCAATTCTTCAGAGTAAATAATTGGGTGAATTTGGTCTTCTGGTTTCCCACAGTAGACTTTGTGGATGAAATGTCAGTTACCTCAATGAAGAGATCATTCGAGCAAAAGTAATTGCAGTCTTTTTTAGTCAACTTCTCCTTCGTAATTATTAGCAGCTACGAAAACATCATAACAGTTGCATTAATCCTATTCCTGTGACAAAGTGTGCGAATCATCTAATGCCATGTTACATATGTACAGTTTGCATCTGGTTTTCGTACAATGGCTGTGATCAAAATACGAATATGCTTGCTAAAATACAGTCAGTTATTACTAATCCTTCATCATTTCACAGTACGGGCATAAATCGTTTTGTCGTTTATCTTATTTGGATAACGAAATGTCATGTAAATCGTAAATAAGAAATTTTTGTGGTTATTTTAACGTACGTAAAGATTGTTTAAGTTTTGACACACGGTATTAATTAAACTAATCCATTCCGTTAAATGATTGGGTTTTCAATGTTGTCATTATCTTCTGAATGTAAGTTATTTTATTGATGCATTCTTAATAAGCTCTTGATTTATTTGCAGCTTTTTTAAGCAAGACTGTGTGCGATTTCCACTAATATTCTTACCGTTACTGTGTAGCACTTACGTCCTATAATTGTACAGTTCTCATGTTATTCTGATTTCAAAGCATAACTTTGTTATGATTTCTCCTATTACGACCCACCTACTCATTAAATTAGTATTCTTCGGACTCTAAATCACTCAACAAGTCCGTAAACCAGAACATGATCGGACAGGAACTTAATTAGGTTCCAAATAAACACGGCTATTTGTTAGCCAATCAGCGTGCCCCAACACAGTCTTGCATGGGACGTGCCGTATTGACCTAATCTATTTCCCGCTAACATTCATCTTTTGGGGTTTTAATTTTTTTTATAGTCCCTTTTTACTTGAAAATAATAGAAAATATCCTTTTCGATTCATTCAATTGGTAGACTTTTATGACACTATCCCTGACCGATGTTGCCATGCGTATAAAACTGTCGGGAACCCAAGAAGCAGAAAAACAGATCTTAGATATGGTAAGTACAATTTCAGAATAACCGCAGCAGTAGTAAATTAATAATTGTTATTATCTAGACGTGTCTAAAAATTTGACCCCAAAATACTGATCATACAGAACTAAGCACATGTAAGTAACGTGAAACTAGTAATGCGTAATCTAATTGTGTTCGAGCATTCTTTAAAGATCAGGTCTTCATTGCTTCTCAGTTTTAGATTGAAATAAAGTTTACCTTATCCGAAAAAGTCCATTTTTAACTTTTGAAAGTACTATTGATATACAGATTATTGGAATAAAATTTCATTTTCCAGTTGCACTACATCTTATGGAATAAAATTTCAGATTACTATGTCACATCACGAACGCCTAAGCACTTCGACTAGCAATAGACGCACCTTTCGTAATAAATATCTTTTCATACTAAGTTACACCACATTGGAGCGAATTTTGTTCTATAGCTTATTTATATTGAAGGCACCTAAATGACACATTGACGATTACTTTTCACCGAGGTAATTTGTAGTAATTGTAGTATGATTTGTTATTAAACACTAAATATACTTCAGCATCTTCATGAGTTTCCGATTGTACTCCCATAACAAAGCACATCGTAAATAGCTTCGTTTTCCTATTTATACTTGCTTTTTCCGCAAAGTGGACTAACAAGAGTTAGTTTTATTCTAACGAACTAGAACTTAATTTGCGTAGTCAGATTGTACATTTGACAAAAGCAGATTATGTGGTGCTCACAATGTTCAGGAGGTTCGTCGTTCTCGACGCGTGAAATCCAAACTACTTTTTTTGGCGAAAATGCCTGGCACTTTAAGTGGAGATCCCATGTACATTCATGTGTGAGTTTATGACAAGAGTGAAAAACAACCAGTTTTTCCATTTAAATAAAACTGTTAGTGCATGAAAATATTTAGAACATATCATCAATATTTACACGTTTTGAAATAATGACAAATTCTCTATTTTTATTGATACATCTCATATTAGATTAAGTCGAAAGCAATTTTTGCTAACATTGATCAACAAAATGGGACTGTTCATTTCCTGGATGATCCCGAGCAGTATGACTCGATCAAAATGCTTCGAATTCTTCAGGAAAAAGTAAGCTTGTGTATAATTAAGCAAGTTATTATTTGATACGATCGACTTTCAGTTGAGTGATGTGACATGATTTAACTCATAAACTAATGTCAATTTCAAGTTGTTCAGATCTTGTAATACTAGATATAACAAAGGACTAGATAAAATCAAATGGTATGCAAAAGATGTGGAGTATTAGCAAAGTTAGCGATATTAATACTAAAATGTATTTGGGGAACAAAAGTTCGACTGAATTTAATGATAAGAACTAGTGTCATAGGTTTCTGATGCAACTGCATGTTTGAACGTTATTCCCACCAATTAGACAAATCTATGCTAGCTAACACTGAACTTCAAAGCAATAAATGTATGTTGAATGACCTCAACCTCAATAGACAACCTAAGATTTCTACGTTTTACGCAGCGCTAAACTTAGTATCGCTTCGAGAATATCGATGATCGAATTCTACCCACATATAGGTCTTCTTTGTTTACAACGGTAGAGGGAACAGTTGGGAGACTAAAATGTTACTTCCACTATGACCAAAAACCAGTTCGCAATAGTCCAGCAAATAAAGAAAGCCACGTTCATCAAAAACATCTATTCACTCACACAATGGGGTTCAAAAGACGTTTTCAGGCACCCTCTTCATCAAATAAAATTGCCTTATCTGCCTACATTAAGAAAGTGAATAGCCCTGACAAACGCTACTTTAGTTTCTCAGTATATATAACAATTCCACGCTTTAACTTGACCAAGTTTTCAGAATATCATCAAAAAATTACCGTCCTAATGCCAGTAGACCGCCACAGTACTGATGTGGCTAGTATATTTACATTCCGAGGCTTGGAGATGAAGTAAAGATATGATCGCCTGTTTCGAGATTCGATCATGACTCAGTGATCTGGATTTTTAATTATTCCTGGACGAATGTGAACAGGTTTCTACTACTGCTTCTATTACTTTCGTTTTTCATCTTAACTCATTACTGCTTGCCATCATTGTGAATGTATTTTCAAGTGCCCTACTTTCATTCTTTTTCAAAACTTAACCATGTATCTCTGAGCATTTATCACTTTAGTAGTATTTTTATACCTTCTAGGCTAGCGAATAACACTCACAAGATTTACTCCGCACACTTCATAACACAAGGCAGGGATAAATATGAAAATAACCACACTAACACCAAAAAAACTAAGAATGAACAAGAGACCAGAATTTTTATTAAAATCAGGTGTGGTATTTCCAGTTTTTCAGTCTTTATTCTTCAGTTTTTATTAAGAATAAACTGAATGAACTGCTTTATCATGTGAAAATGCAATATTAGATGAACAAGTAGACACTGAAATCTCTGAATATGCGATCTATATTTGTTAGAAAACAAACGAATTATACGTCAAGATAATTCACTCTTTTTGAATTTGCTTGGTTTTTGTAAATATTTTCATATTTGTACGTTTTTTTAGATAACAGAATGTGTGAATTTGGAGAAGCATTTTATGCAGTTAACTGACCGGCTGGTGACAAATCCAAACTATGCTAAACGAGTACGTTAGCGTTAGATTTTATTTAGTACAAATTAGAGATCCTTTTTACTTATAATGGACATGGTTCTATGTATTGTTATATTAAAGATTCCCATTGTGAAAATTAGAACAACACATATAAGCGAACAATTGTTTTCAATTAGATCGTCATCAGGCTTTACTCTCATATACATTTTCGTATAAATATTCATGTATATTAGAGTAAAGCCTGATGACGATCTAATTGAAAACAATTGTTCGCTTATATGTGTTATTGTTATATTAAGCAAATGTACACAACTCATTCGTACATTATTAAACTTTAAACCATATATTGCTAGTTATTTAGAGATTAATAAATCTGTCTACCTCAAATAGGTTCTAATACAAACTTGATTCTCAATCCATGTAGCTGAAGGGTAAACTAATATTAATTATGTCACACTTTTACTTCAGCTGATGGTTCTGATACGCTTGAACGGATATATTCGTATGAGTAATTTGGTACCTCATAAATTTAGACATTGGGACAAAAATCTTTCTAAATAACTGACTCTCTTACAAATATATGTATACAAAACATCATTCTTTAGTTCAGATAACTGGCTACAAAAAACGGTTTTCTGTGGTATTCTTTTGCACTAAGCATTCAAATTACAACTAAATAAGACTACTAGAGTTAGTACTTCAGATTGAGGCGTTAGAAAATGTAAACACTTAAAATCCTGCATATTCTCTTGCCTTTCTGTACTTCTCTGTAGCTTACGATTTACGAACACGTAAGTCCTAGATATTAGGTTTTTAAGCATGTAACCACATATGCGTTCACGTTTGTCGAAATCTTTTGTGAAGTTAATATCACGGTTTTTCAGTTGATATCAAAGCTGTTTGACTGTTTAATATTGGTTAGACAAACCATTCATTCATATAAGAAGAATATATATATATATACACATATATAAGTAGCTTTACATCTTTGCCTTCTTCTTTAGATGATCGAGCTGGAAACCAAGGCAGCGAAATCTGTGGGCCAGTATTGAACGCGAACAAAACTGAAGAATGATGTTGCTTGCATTTTTATTCAGTACTTGTGAATCTAGCGTGCCTTCCTGAAATGGAAAATAAAATTAAAAAGTCACTACGCTCAAATATCCATTTCATTGTAATATTTTTGTAGTGTCTTTACACAACTCAGAATATTCTTTAAATGTGTGCGTCAAAGAAAACGTAGAGTTTAGAAGTAATTCTAGACAAGTCAGAATTATAAAGTTTGGGACTAACGGTCGAAATCAATTTACAGGTAGGTAGAAACTAGTCGAGAAGCTTGTTCGATCTGGTTATTTTATCAGTACCGATGATTTAAACGCGTATACTTAATTTCAACAATGCTAAATATCAATGGTATGATGCAAGGATTTTCAAATCATTCCACAAGAAAGCGACAATCAGTATCGTAGAGGATAATATCGATATTTGCAGGTCTTTACATCGTTCGTTTAAAAGATCTGTTGAAAAGCTTTATTGTTAACTGACATTCGTCCAGCCATCCACAGCATCACTTAACTCAAGGAGTACGCGTCCGTATACTATGGAATAGATTTTTTAGATTTTTGAACAGTGCAAAAGTAATCACTTTTGAAATATATATACAGTACTTGTTGCTTTCAATAAACGTAGAAATAAGTAAAACCGCTTATTGTGACCAATTTTCATACAAAAATTACTCACCAAATAGGCTTCTTGCGTGCTTTTCTTTGGCCTGGTTGTTTACGTTCCGCAAACCGGTTGTCCTGAGACAATAAGCCCGTTACCAATAGTCTATTTTTCCCCTGATCTATCGGAAGCATTGAGGCCAAACACCTGGCTATCGCCAAACGGAGAGCATTCGCTAAACTGCTCGAACCGTCCCCGCTTACTGTAGCAATTATGTCTACTTTACCAACAGTATCTGAAAAAGTGAAGAGGTTTGTATATACTTAAATTGCATACAGAGTTCGTGAGACATATATTGTAGCAATCATTTCAAAATCTAATAAGCTCTCATAGCTTTAGAATGCATGGGATCTAATGACAATTATAAGAAGTCTAACACTGACATTTCGCTAATCATGTGACGCAGTCGATGTGATTCCCAGAAAACAAGCGGCATGATTTTGGTATTCCCTTACAACACCTCTTTTATCCTATACTAAATTTAGGTACGTGAAATATTCTGTTGTGTGGTGTATGTTCCAGACAATTGTTATAAAAATCCTAGTGGTATGCGTGAGCAGATATCATCAGGCTGTTTCACATCATAGGGAATGTATTAAATTATTTGTGTTGGTTGAGTGAAAACTATACCCACAAATTCATTTCTGGCTTGTACCGTAAATACTTATTGTATTAGGAATGTTTATGTGCAGTCTAAAGGTTACTGTCATTGGTTCTTTTCGTTTACGAGCAATCAGGTTCAACAAATATAACCCAATATGACTGGGAAGTAGTTTGCTTCAGGGTAAATCTTTGCATCCTTTAACTCTCCCAGAATTTGAACAAAGTAGTAAAGGAAATTGATATGTGGACGAGAATGATTGGTTGTCTACAAAAATTAGGCATGTAGATAGTCTGACAGGTCTTAGATAAGTTATATATTCCCCTATCCTTATTATTGAATGTTCATTGTTGTTGGATTGTGTCGCATTTTGCCGTGGAATATATTTAGGTCCTAGTCAGGCTAATCACGTGTTCTTGATTTGAGTTGTGTTGAAGTCCTGTAGAATAGACACTGGAAGGGAATCTAGTGTAGATATTCGTCTAAGGTAAATTAACGTGAAGCAAAACCGAGCGTTATAACAAAAATATTTACGAAATATGACGATTTCGTTGCTTTCTGTTCATCTATGCCCAAGCTAAGAATGTTAGTTATTTCCAATTATTAACATCTTGTTCAATTTGAAAAAATCGAATGTCAATAACAATACAGTTGTTCGTAGTGTGAGAGAAGTTAAAGATGAAATTTATCTCGGTCATTAGTTTTCTCTGCCATAAACTAGGACAATGGTTAGCTAACAAACTAAAACCAATTTGTGAAGAGTTGGCTGTATGAAGTTTATCGGAAACTTGAATTCGCTGAAGTACGAGATCAAATAAACTTATGGTCTCATAAGTTGTACATTAATTGTTTACCAGTATCCCTTTGGAGGAGACAACTTACACTACTAGCCAATATTCATAAGGTATATCCACACCATAATTACAGCCCAAACTGTGCAGTTTTAATCCAACAATACATTATATTGTCAAGCATGCTATGGGAAGTCCTTTGGGATCACGACCCTTGCTGACTAATTCGTAGCAAATTTAGAAAAGACAAAATCGTTAACTGTTATCAATGAGATTTCATTTTATGTGAGATATGTTAATGACACTTGTGCAGCAACATAAATCAACCAAATGACATATTCGAAGCCTTCAATAAAGTCCATCTTTATATTGAATTTACAGTGGAATATGAAACATGCATTCCATTTCCTCAGTTGAAGTATCCCTCAATCAGATGTTGGGACTTTCCAGAGGTACTTATTTGTGTCGCACAGAAAATTGAAGTGACCAGTGCCTGAAATTACACAGCATTTTCTCTATTAACCATAAGTATGGGTTAGGGAAAACGTTTTACCAGAGCCAAGTTGTGTTCACTTGAAAAACCCAAAAAGAAACATGGAAATAAATAATTGCATGCACAGAAAACAGTACTAAAATAAGACGGAAACTTCCAAACGCGAAAAGACAATTTTTGTTCGGTTGTGGTTGAAAGGTGATCAAATCATATGTAAAATTAATCAAACAGCCTGAAAGGTATATTTCTGCTGCGAAACTGATTTCATTTCACACAGCACTAACCAGTTACATAAACGAAAACAGACAAACATGCATAAATCAAGTTGCATGTATATCGGAAGGACGGAGGGGCTACTCGTTTAACTAAAGCAAATCGGAGAAGGCAAGGGAGCCAACCCGATTTAACCGAAACTAAATCAATATTTATAGCCAGATTAAGGTAAGCTACGGACATGTGATGAGTAGGCTAAGATGTGCATATATACATCGCTCATTTGAAAGGTCAGAATAAATAGGCCAATAAGTGACAAGGTCAAAACGTGGTTTGAGAATGAATAGATTGCTTGTTCTGGAGCTAGAATACGCTGTGTGTCTAACATAGTACATGACATTACACTATCCTCCACAGTCCAAACTTGCACTATACTAAGCGGTAATTGTTCTCAGTAATTTAGGTCTACCATCCTCAACTACTTTCACGCCACCACAGTTAATTTCTTCAAATTGAACAATATGTTAATGAATGTTAGTAATTAAAATTATTAGCTTGGTCATAGCTGAAGAGAAAAAAATGGATTCGATGTATTCTGCAGATATTGTCATATCTCCTCAGTTGAGCTTTGTGAAGAAAACCCATAGCATGAAACTCAGGGTTTTTTTTAACAATTTCAGTCCACTTTCGTTGGTTTATTAGGAAATTTCGCCTTTGATAATTCTCATGTGTTGAGTTGCTTAAAGCCGACTGCTACTTTACTATTAAATTTAGGAGTAGATTTGTTTTATTTTATTGTCTTATTGTGTTTTTTTTGTTTACAGTAAACTGTGTAGTTTTTGGAATAAATTTTAAAAAACTATGTGATTAAAGTATTTGCTCTGTGGTAATAGTTATACACTCCTTTGTGTTTGAGCTCGGATTGGCGTCAAAATAATAGCATATAGAAATAGTCTCATTAGACGACTGTCAACTAAGAGTAATAAGTATATTATCCAAATGATTGTACTGCTTGATCGTCCACTTTCCAAGTTTTGAAGAGAAGTGGTTGGGAATTATAAATTGACTTGATTTTAGCTCGACTTCTGATCACATTACTTCACATAGAAGGATAGAGATTTGTGCTTCTTAACCTCAAATGTCACCAAACATTTCAGTGGGACTCGTAGAGAGCGAACCAGTTAAACTCGTAAGTCTTAGAAATACTGCCCATATATGCTAGGATTATCGGGTAAGTAATAGTGAGGTTAGATGCAGGGTAGTATTAGTGACTGATGGTAAATCAGTTGATGAGATTGTAAATCTTCATTGACTGAGATGGTTGGGCCACGCGTTACGTATGCCTGAACACCGTTTATTACGATGCGCAATGCTGGCCAGTGATGGGAATGGTTGGAAGAAAGTTAGGGGTGGCCAAACCAAAACGTGGCATCAGTGCTTGAATTCACTAACTTCTGGTCTGAGCCGTGTTGGTAGATGCAGACTACTTGGTTGGTGTTCGCGTGACTGTTGTAACCAATGGTTGGAGACTCTGAGTGACATGCCTCAGAATCGGTCACAATGGCGTCGGTGTATACACTCTTAATCTTCCCTCAAACCGTGAGATTAAAATTGCTTTATATCTTACTTTCTACCGACTAATTCTTTCTTCCTGTGCTATATCCTTATACACAATCTTTTTTTATACACTACTGCCAGTGAATTATCTGCTTGTATGAATTTGGTGTTCATCTTGTTGTGCTAATGATATGTGGCAACTTGTACCGATACATATATGCGCCTGGTCCTACGTTGTAGTTGACTGCACAAAATGGGAACAAAAGAAAACAGAAAAGAGACACAATGTCGAGTGGAAACGACTGTTACCAAATAATTATGAATATAATTTGAGGATGCGATTTTTTTTCGGTTTTGATCACCATTTAATTTGTGTATGAGTTAGCATACTGTTCGGCTGCTCAAACTGTAGCACATGGTTTTCTTAGAGAGCCTGTCCCCAAACCCTTGACCTAAAAGTCTAATCCATCAGACAACATAACAACGTTATGAGATGCAGTAACATGATAGCTGGTTACCAACAATAGGCTCATACGCCATTTGATCTCTCAGAATCCTGGAGCTCAAGTGCACTATTATTTTGGAATCAGGTATTCCCAACCCTCCTAATTTGAATACTCCGTACCCACTAGCCCGGTTTAAGCACCAAACTTTGGCTGTTCATCCTCTCAGTTAATTTAGCGATACCCTGCTGCGAGACGCCAGTTAGTGAGAATTCCCTAGTAGATGCTATATACACGCGGCCATATGAGAGCATTTAAAGAAGAGCGGTATTTCTCCACTCTTGGCTGTACCAAGGCTGCAAGTAGTTAGAGAAACAGGATTTTTTCCCTAAATAATTCTATTATATATCACTTGGATCTTCAAAAACACAATACAAAGTAAAATATTTAAAAACTTGCTTGTTTGCTGTAAAGGGAATACTATTTGTTCTCGATTTCCAAGCTCAGGAAATATTTCTAGAAGTCGTGCTCCGTTTACAGTGAAGTCACCAGTGCCAGGCATGTATAGTGTTACTTCAGCAAGCGAGTTTTTCTTTTGACCGAATGCTTGGACACATTTTCTGTTTGTTACTGAGTCCATAAATGGCTAAAAAGTCAATTTGTCTGACATAGTTAAACCAACCTCGGGAAGTTTAATTTCTGAAGTAGGACCGCATATTTGGGCTTTGTAATTCTGAATAAATTCTTCGACCAAATACGACAATGGGTGTTCTGATAAACGCTTCATTAAAACTAACCACTGTTTATACTGTCACAATTATAACATGATATATATCTAGACAAAAACTCAATACCTGTGCATCCGATATGGTTTCGTTAATCATTTTCATGAGATTTATTTTCGACATAAAGTCGCTTGACGTCGCACAACTGAAAGCGAAAGCAAGTGGGTAGTTGATTACAAAGAATAACTAAGGTCAAACATTTTAAGTACAATCAAATTGTAAAAAGATGTTTGTAAAGCAGCGATCGTTGGGTGATTTCAACTCAGATATTCATCAGTTGAAAATGACTGCTTCTAACCAAAGATGACGAGTCACTGCCCGGTTGAAAATTGTATGCTACCACCAAATATGAGTACTGAAGCAGTTTTTCTGAAACCACGTGCACCATTCGAACTGGTTGGCTTCAAAGTATGCACACTTATGCAGGTCGGACAACAGATAGGGCTGGCTGTCTTTGGAAAGTCTTAATATTGACGTTTGTTGTCTATCCGAGACCCCTATTCAAGACTCTGGTGAAGTACTACAAATTCGCTCCCCATCGACGTCTTGGACGATGGGCAGAATTTTTCGAAGGGCAGTTCAACTGGCCTGCTGCTCCGGCAGCATCGGTCAGACTGTCCTGCCCCCCATGGCAAGTGACGACTGATCCACCAAATGAGGAGGAAGTCTTCAAGGAACTCCAACTCTTGAAGCGTTACAAATCACCTGGCCCAGATGACTTACCTCCGGCTCTTTTTAAACATGGTGGTGACTTTCTGACTAAGGAACTGACGACGTTGTTTACAAACGTCTGGGAACTAGATAACGTACCCACGTCATGGAATGAGTCGATAGTTGTCCCTATCTTTAAAAAGGGTTCACGTCGTTCCTGTAACAACTATCGGGGGATAATTCTACTTCCAATCGCGTTCAAGCTATTGGCTTCCATCATAATTCGTAGGTTATTCAAAACCCGAGAAAGATTGACTCGTGAGGAGCAGGCTGGTTTTCGTTCTGGTCGAGGATGCATTAATCATATCCTCACCCTCCCTCAAATGTTAGAACACCGTCATACTTATCAAAGGCCAACAATCGTAGTGTTTCTTGACATTAGGGCTGCCTTCGATTCGTCGGATAGAACTGTTCTCTGGAATCGTCTATTGAAGAAGGGTATGCCTGAGAAGTTTATTAACATCCTAAAAGCCCTATATACAAACACCTCAGGCAGAGTGAGGGCATACAACCACCTCTCTCCATTGTTCTATTCGAGCAGTGGGGTTAGACAGGGTTGCCCAATCTCACCATTCCTCTTCAAATTTGCTATCGATGACATTCTAGAAACAGCTCTGATAGATGTAAGTAATGGTGGTGTGGATCTGTTGCCTGGAGAAAGACTTCTCGACCTTGAGTATGCGGATGATATTGTCTTACTGTGCGAGAATGCCCAAGGCATGCGATCCGCACCCAATCAGTTGGCAATCAGTGTCCGTAGGTATGGTATGTCCTTTGCACCTTCGAAGTGCAAAGTACCTCTAAAAGACTGGCAGGATTCTAATCCTGTACTCATCCTGGATGGTGATCAGATAGAATTAGTCGAAAAGTTCGTGTATCTGGGTACCTACATAAGTGCTGGTGGGGGTGTGAGTGATGAGATCAATGCACGTATAGTGAAAGTCAGAGCGGCTAATGCTAATCTGGGCCATCTTCGGCGCCTTCGTCACGTTAGTCTGGCTGTAAAAGGTCGGATCTACAACGCGTCGGTGAGAGCAGTTTTGCTCTATGCTTGTGAAACCTGACCTCCGAGTTGAGGACGTTAGACGACTCTGTGTTTGATCATCGTTGTCTCCGACGGATTGCTGACATCCAGTGACAACACCATGACAGTAATGAAGAGGTTTGGCATCGTGCGCGCAGACGATGGTTTAATTGGTGTCACCATCTTGAATCATCGACTTCGGTGGCTTGGACATGTTCTACGAATGTCGTCCCAGAGAATTCCACGTCGTGCATTACTTGCCGACTCTGGGACTGGTTGGAAGAAGCGGAGAGCTGGTCAGTGTATGACATGGTATGAAAGAAAGGCTTCTGTCGGTCCATCACGACTCCCTGGTTGGCGATCGTGCTGTAACCTTTTACTTTCTTCATAAAAAGTGGTTGTCTTCCTTAGCTGAAAGAATTCTTCTGGTTGTACCTTTCCGTTCTCCCCATTATTATTATTACACTAATCTGGTTGTTATTGTTCCTCTTCTTTTTTTTCCTTTTACGCTCATTACCTTTTTTTCCCCATTATCATTGTTTTGTGTGGCGCATACATATTTGGTGCCCCGTTGTACCAATATTTACGTGTTCAAATAAATAAATAATAAATACTAACTACAGAGTATGGTTACATCGAAGATTCAAACCTCTTCTGCACAATCCAACACATCCCTATTTAACAGATGACAAGTTTATGGAATGATCTATTCACGTTTGACCTATATTATCATTTTAGTCACTTTCAGATAAAATTTTCGTTACATAAGGAATAGAACTGTTGAACAAATAACTTTCGCACCTCAATTATTCTGTAACCAATATGAATCAGCAACATAAAACACCAGTTTCCTTAATGAATACTTCACAACTTCCAACTCGACTTTCACATCACATTTCAGTTCTCTGTTGGTGAATATTGAGGGAAGTAATCAGCACAATAAACGGTGACACATGGCAAAAATCATAAACGTGTAAGCAACGGAAACGGAATACAAGAAATTCAAAAGAAATGTCTGTGATGAGGAATTACAGGAGTTTCTCACGAAAGATATCTCCAATTTTAAGCACCATAGATATATTTGAAATAAGCTCCTAAGGGAAAGATGGAAGTTTTGTCATCATTTCATTTCTGGATTGCGATTAGTGTATTTGGAGCTAAAAAGCACTATTATTAGCTTGTCTGTAAGCAACTTATTATTTATTTGCATCCCTGTTTACTCATATCTTTCTCGTTAATTTTGAATACGTGTTGATCTTCTCCCCACCTCATTTGGGTATTGTGGCGTCCCGGCCTAACAGTTAGTTATCGGTGACTGTCTGCTGTAATTTCTCTCAGACAACCGATTATTCACAGTAAGTAGGAATTTTAAGTATAAAGAAAGACACTGCCTAACCTGCGAACTTCCAACATAACGATTAGCACAAACAAATCATATCGCCGTCAATTATATTCGGTAGAAAACTACCGCTTTTACTGGAGTGTATATTTGAACTCCGATCATGTCCTAGTGAGAGCACTAATTTCTATCCATCTTACTCGATAGGGAAAGTTGAAGTAGGTAAACCCTTCTGATATCAATTTGAAGATGCTTTGGTCAGTGTTGCGTACACGACTATTTATTATCCTTAAACTTATTTTTCCCCCAACAGTATGGTTTCAGGAAGTGTCATTCTTTTATAACCAACCTGCTGACTGCGGTGGACAGATGGATAACCATCCTTGATCGCAAGCTTAAGGTTGACATCATTTACCTTGACTTCTCAAAATCTTTTAAAATGTTCAGCAATATATGTCTTATTAATAAGCTCAAGCGATTAGTTATCAACTAGCGTTGAATTGATTAGCAACTTCAAATCTAAAAAATCGGCATTTTAAGGTCAGCGTTAACATCACTTTCAGGCTACGGAATGTCCCAGTGGGATCCCCCGGGCCCAGTACTAGTACCTTTTCTTTTCTTGATTTATATAAACTATCTCACACAGCAGGTACCATCAGATTTTTTTACTTTTCGCTGATGTGAAACTCTGGGGAGAAGTATGTACCCAAGGGAATAAATCGGCACTTCAGGAGGACCTGACTCGATTTCAAAGTTGGGCAGATGACAACGGACGTATCATTAACACTTCAAAGCGTAAGGTAGTCAATTTGAGACATGTAGACTAGGAATACAACTCAGGTAACTCCCCTCTAGAGGTATCATAAGTTGAAAACGATTTAGGAGTGCTGTTACCGTACGATCTGAAGTCTTACGCCAGCTGAAACAAAAATCCTTTCCGAGCAAACGTTGCATTGGTAACACTGAAGAGCATTCTAATAACTTATAGTATACTAACAATTCTGGACATCCCTTTAGGGATCTACTTAAGCTTAGTCCCAATACAAACCTTAGAGGTGACACCTAGAAACTGAAGACAACATGGAAGGACGGACAGTAAGCGTACCTTATACTCCTTTAGGGTAGTCAAATTCTCGAAATCGTTTCAAGCTGAACTAGTTCAAGCTACTTCCCAAGAACTCTCCGAGAGAAAATTTGACATATTCCTAAGGACAATATTTCACTATGATTTACCGATTATTCCTTTATTTTTCGTTAAATATTCTTAGGTTCATGTCTGAAGGCATCGGTGATCCACCGCTACTAGATACGGAAGGCCGTTGAGCAAAAGCTTCTTCTAGAACCATTTGACATTATTAAGCGACCGACTTAGCCAAGAACTTGCTGTGTTCAAGCGACTGTACATGAATAGTGAAAATGTACACGTAGTACGTCTTTAAACTTTCCTCCACGTTTATAATTGTAAACCGAAAGCAAAGCGTTGTAATTAGAGACTTTACGACTGAGCGTCGTGAAATCCTAAGTTCATTTTCACTGTAACGCCACATCAAATCCTGTTACATCAACTTCGTCACTTAAGTAGGGAGCCATGTTGGCTCAAATGATAGGCACTGGAAAAGATAAAAAGCTCATTATGGTACGTACGCATTGCATAGAATTATATACAAGTTGTTTTAACATCTGTTGGTGACATATCTCAAACGACTACAAAAAAGTACATTACTGGAAGAAATAAAGGGTTCAGATGGTTTCAAACCTTAATATCTGAAAATCAAATTATAAAAATGAGCGAGAGTACATTCAATGGTGCTGAAAATAGTCATAGAAAAATCTAGATAGGTGTGAAACTATTTCACTAAGTATACACATTGTGACTCAATAATCAGAAAAGCATCTAAAACCTACTGTACTTCTTTCAATGTGGGCTTAACAGTCGTCTTGTTAAAATAAGACTGATCAACGTGAAGTTTTATTTCTTCCAGTTTGTAAATCGCCTCCTAAGGGTATTGTTACCAGAGATTTATTCTTACGTTCATGATTTTGTGAAAGTTTTGGTGTGTCGTGTAAAAGTAGCTATTAAGTGGTCTGCCATTTACATCACACTGCAATTCTAAACGAGTGTCATTAAAAAACTGATAACTAACGCTTTTGCGGTGGAAACACTAGGTGTGGTTCCTACAATTTTTTTTAAAATTAGACAAACGTATCTTTACTTTGAAGACAGGACGTGCACGTTTAGTATACAGCGAGGACGGAAGCAGATACTCAATAGCCTCATTGACCTGCTCAGGTGTGAAATGGACAGGGTCATAACCCATAATTTGAGCAAGGAACTTTCTACCATTTTCATATTCTTTCTTTTCGATACTAAGTATCATTTCTGAAATTCACTGTAGTGAGTTACATTAAAAACATACCGTTTTTCTCAATATTTTTCAGATAACTCTTAACAGAATTGATCTTGCTTGAGTTTTGGATTCCTAACGATAAACTTCTGGCTCCGTCAAAAGCTTGAAAACATCTACTGAGAGCAGATAATGTAGTAAGACGATGTAGCGCAAACATCGTCCTGCTACCTGAGGTCATATCGTGATGTTTTACACAAATGGTTCAAATGGTTCAATTCAATAAACAATATCTTTGTGGCGAATATTTATAGACTGATAAAATTCTTCGCCCTCGCTTCGTGATCTTGGGGTGCGGTTTCAAGTTGATCATTTCATACAATGTGTATGTTCTATTGATTTAGATGCACGGACACTAGAGGATTTGTTATTAATTTGAGAAGTTTAATACTTTCTTTAGTGCTATTAAGTGTGCTTGTATATTAACCCGAATATTTCCAATTATGATGTTGTCGTCGTGATGAAGCCTATGACTGAACATTTGGGTATAAATATGCCACAGGTACTCGGAGTGTGATAATGCCTTCACTAGTAGCACCTTCATAATCAAAGTATACCAACCCAAGTAAATCAGAAGTCAGAAGTGAAGAGATTCAAAGCTATACTTGAAAGGCGGTCGGTATGTTGAGAAGCGTTTGATCGAAGCTGGTAAACGGTTGTAGGAGATGCGTAGCACGATGAAATGTCACTGAGCCCTAGCCAAATCATCCGGCAGTTGGATCACTGAATTTCGAACAGATCATCGCTCCCTGTCAGGGTCAGGGACAACCAACGCGCACCCGTTAATCATATGCCATGGACTGGCCCATGTGGCAGTGGTCTTACTTCACTTGTATCTACCTTAACTAATATATTTCTGTAATAACGTCCTCTGTGTTGTACAGCCTTCAAAGCATCTATGGTACCTTGATACGTCAATGGGGTAGTCCACGTAAGGTGTTGACCACGAGGTGTGACTTCGATGTTAGCTGATTCGTCACACCATTCCCGTCTAACTCGAGTAGGTCTCCAATCATTTTCGACATAGATCATCTACGTTGGTGAACTACATGCCCACTCGTGATCTGGTGCGGATGCGTGACCAAGCGCTTTCAGTTAGGTTAGTCCAGTAAAACTAATGCTGTCAGTATTAAGTGTCAAAAACTTTCAGAATAATGTATTTTGGGGATTTTTTACAGCTACAGCTCATCCCCCCCCACTTGTGCGGTAGTGATGACCTTAATGCGTGACCAGACAAAAGTTTAAATCTAATGAGATTGTCTTTGGTGAATAATCTTCTGGTAGCTTGCTATATTCAGCGTCATCTGGCTATCTTTTCCTAATATAAGGGGCCATATGGTACATAATAAATAACAATGGGAAAAAATGGAAATTTTGATTTATCGTAAAATCCATTGGTCTTTTCATCTTTTGCAGCCGTCCTGGAAAGGAAAAAAGGAATCGGAAGTGCATGTCAAGATACACTCATCCGTCAGGAAGAACATACAAATGGGAGAAAAAGAGAAAATAAAGTAGTATAAATGTGTGTTTGATAACATGAAATAGAATAGGAAAAATTTTCCCAGGATGATCTTTTTAAAAAAAAGTATATACGCATTTTTACATACGTATGAATATATGTACAATAATCGTTTTGTCCTTGATTCACTTGGTATTGTTTTACTTGAATATTCCCATTGATGTTTAAGGCTGAAATTGATCAGTCTCTTATTGGCATGTGTGTATACCTCGATATTGCCTTAATTTACAGGCATTATAAGCAAAGATAAACACAGCATGACCCGCTAGCTAAGTTGATAACGCGATGGCAATGAAACGAAAAGTGCTGGGTTCTAGTCCCAGAGTGAACATCAACTCTGAGATGCAGGTGTGGAGATAGGCCTGGCAAGCTTATTTTGTAAATAGTTTTTAATATTATTTGTATTTACTTCGTCAATCTTTCACTGTCTGTATATTTTATCATTAAACGATTGTACCTGTTGTTTTAGTTAATGACCTTGTACACACTTTTCCTTTGTACTACTACATAGCGTGACATACCGTTGCTGGCTATCAATTACACTGCTTCTCGCACATTCCTCGTTCTATCTCCATTTGTGATTGAGTTAACTGACGTCTAAATCAAATACTATCTATATTTATAGTCTGTAATCGCAATAATATCACATCCTACAATGGATTATATCATTGGAGAGTTCGTCAACCCGATCAGAATCACCAAGCATTTATAATTGTGGATTTACAATACTGGACCCAACCAGAACACGCAATATTTGGTCAATTTAAGTAACGTTCCAAATTTTTATTGTATTTGTAACAACTAACTGGTATATATTAATATTACTATTGACCTTTAGTAACTTTGTTGATATTTTTTATGTTCATATCTGTCTAGTCCAACACACAGGTACATCAAGCTGACGAGTCTCAATTAGAACGAAACGCGCGTCCTGGATTCCACTGCTAGTCACTTCCATCTTTGCTTATTTTGTCCTTGGTTTGTTTTATTTATATACACTGACGCAAAAAATAACTAGAAGGAACAAAATGTTATGTTTTGTCCTACGCACAGTGATCTTTTAAGTGTTCCGGGAACCTTACCCTTCTTCCAGAAGACGTTGTCATAGATTGGTTGTGATATACCATTCAAGGTCTTTCCTGACTGTTGATTATCGGGAGGGGTATCATAATTGTGGGGCTTTTGTCATTTAAATGTACTAGAGGAAAGTCAAAATTATTAGGGTCTCCTTCGAAATACACGGTTTTAAGACGATAAAAGTTGATGCTGTCGTTATTTCTGTTCTCCTTTATGATATGGCATCTAGGTTAACGCTGAAGACCTTCGTATGCTATTTTGACAAGTCATCGAATTGAGACGCAATTCACAAAAACGTGTGCACTACATCGTAGAGAAGGCTGTACGAAAAAATCAGTTGACCGTGATCGAGTGAAAACAGGTTTGTTGAACGTATGGCGTTTGTAAGCCTGCTATTGTCGGAGCTCTAGTCCATATTTATTGAAGATGAAGGATCCACAAATTTTCTCGGAAGTCGGAGTGTCGTTTCGTAACCGTGTTGAACTACCGTTTATCCAGTGCCAGCTTTCACCGCATTGTGAATTTCGAATAACACAAGTGGAAGAGCGTCAGTTCATTGTGATATTTTTGTAGCAGAGAGCGAAGCTATTAACGGTCGGTGAAATTGTTCTATCAACCCGATCGTTTGTGAGTTGTTTGGAGGCATGTGATTCCTAGTAGTGTTGTTGGAAAACGGAAATGTCTGGATTCGAACTGGTGTCTACGTTTTGTAATGAAAGTTGAAGGGCAGTAGACGTTTGCCACTCATCGTTCGACGAAGAGTAATTTCCTTGATAGGTACTGCTTCTAGCCAACCTGTGAAACGGTCTACACACGTTAAAGTGTGAGAGTATATATTTGAATGTGGTAAGGATCCTACCAAATCAAAATAATGCATCAGTACTTGCGGAAGAGTCCAAGGGACATTTATTGTGTCTTACCACCTAAGATTTCTGGCAGCTTACACGGATGTGTGCCCACACTCTACGTCTTCATTCATACCAGGCCAGCAAATCTTCCTGCTATGAGCTTGATGGTAACTCTAACACCTGGATAAGAAAGCTTGTGCAACGTATTGAAGACATTTGGTCAATAATATTTCGGCATGATTGGACGATCTCTCCCTGTAAATGTGTCATATAGTAGAGTTTATTTACCTGTTCCCATCTGTTTGATCCACAGTTTCAGGATTGTCGATGATAACTGGTGCTGAACATCAGTGATTACTCTTAGAAGCTAAGCGAGTCTAAGAGAGTCGATTCCTTGGAAACTGTTCAAGGGAGTTACACGAGACAAAGCTTCTGAAACTGTATTGCTTGACCCAAAAACGTGTTGTAAATCCTAAGTAAACCGAGAAATGCAGTCTAGTTGTACTTGTCTAAAGATGGGCTTAGAGAGAAGGTGAGAGGTTTGAGATTGTTGAGTAGATTGAATTCTCGTCCTTCCTATGAGTATGAAAGTGCCGCACAGCAAAACAAATGGCCCGGGGTTCTCCATCGAAAGTTAACCACGATACCAATGGGTGCTTTTATGTCCTGGTATGTGAACATAGCTGCTCTTTCGACAATTTCCTTGATAGTTATTGTGAGTTCATTTTCATTGGTTGTATTGTTAGAAACTAATATCATTATAAGCAGAGAAAGGAACTTTCTACTACATTCACTGCCATCCTTAATATTTCTGCTACCTAAATTTCGATTTCGGTCTTTTCCTTGATCACTCGGCTTCTTTACCAAACGTTCAGGCAATTTAAGTATCTTAGAAATTTTTTTCTCCGCTGCGACAACTGACAACGTGAAACTCTGAGAGAACATCTAGCTACCAGGCAGCTCGAGGGATACAGTAGCCATAGTAGTTTGAAAATAACCTAAGCAAAGAACCCGACCGAATTATCAGGGTTTTGAAACTGTGACTTACAGGAATTAGTCGCAAGCGTAAAATATTTAAGCTGTCGATTAACATACGGCGCATAGTACAATTGGTGACACATACTGAGGATAAAATTAACAGATTAGAAACAGGCTGGAGTGCATTTAGGTCTGATAATTTATTGTATGCAATAATAAACTCCGCCAGTAGCTATTTTTGGTTTATTGCCGGTCCCAAGCCCCGATGAAGCATGGAGGACAAGTGACAGACTCGTTCGAGGTAAAGACCGGCGTCAGGCAAGGTTACTTACTCTCACCCTTTCCTCTTTCTACCGGTGATCGAATGGATCAAGAAGTCGTTGAAATCTGAAGGGAAACATGGAATAGAGTGAACTGCTAGGATGCAGTTGGACGATCTAGACTTCGCAGATGATCTGGTTCTTCTATCGCAAAAGCAACACCAGATGCAGGAGAAGACGACCAGTGTAGCATCAGTAGGTCTCAACATACACAAAGGGAAAAGCAAGATTCCCCAATATAACACAGCATGCAACAACAGAATCAAACTTGACGGAGAACATTTGAAACATGTAAAAACCTTTACATACCTGGGTAGCATCATTGATGAACACGGTGGATCTGATTCAGATGTGAAGGCGTGGATCGGTCAAACAAGAACATCATATTTAAAACTGAAGAACTTCTGTAACTCGAAACAACTGTCAACCAACACCAAAGTCCGAATTTTTATTACGAATGTCAAGAC